TCTGACTTGAGACTTTCTTTTGGGTGGTGCGATTGGCCTTCTCTGGGCCAAAAAGGCATGGTTTCTTTGCTCTTTTTCTACAACAAAGAATGCACATATTCAACAGCACCAAAGGGGTGCACATGTACAACGATTTACAAGTTTATTAAAATATATATAAGGTCTCAAAACCCTTACTAGAATAAAGTGGATGACTTTTTACTTGAAAGCTTAGGGTCTGAAACCAAGAATCCTTAAAGTTAACAAAGTTAAATTCAGTCCTCTCAAAAACCATTCTGCTTCTCTCCTCCAAGATGACCCAAAAAGTAGTCAGGAGGATATGATTTATCCTCTCATCCCCTTGAATGCCTTTCCAAGCACAAAAAGCACATGGTTTCTATAGGAGAATTCCAATATCTACTCTATAAAGGGATTGGAATGCATTTTGCATTCACTTGACTATTTTCTGTATTGTTTCTTTTATGTTTGCCTCTCTTTTCGAAGGATAGCTTGATTTCCTTTTAGATTGTACTTTTCTGTTCCTAATTTGACTAAATTTCTTCTTTTATAAAAGTTAGGGGTTGTTGGCTCCAAATCCTAGGTTTTTAGTTCAATAGTGATCTTCTATATTTTGATGAGGATCTAGAACACCTTGATATTTTGACTAACATGTAACAGTTCTTTTGTATAAGGGCACCACCAGTTCATTGATTAATAAACTTTCTCTTGTAAAAATTAACAAACATCTTCAGGTCAATCTGAATAATCATATATATTAAGAAAGAAGACGCATACTGAGTAGTGCTTCATCCTTAGTAAACCCAAAAACAGAACCTTTTTCTACTTGGTTGGCAAATAAGAGGCAAAGCGAGAATAAAATTATCAGACATACTTGAAATATTTAATCACATCCATACCTGGAAGAGAATCTTAATAAAGATACGGGAGGAGGAGGTGGTATCCTCCTCAGTTAAACGTATGTATGCCAGAACATGCCAAGGAAGAGCATCTGTACCAAGCAAATGAGCGAAAAACTTTGCCACATTACGAAGCTTATTTGTTTCAAGGCGATGAATCATAGAGTACTGTTGCACAAAACATTTCTCAAAATTCTCCTGGTACACTTTGTTGATCATACAAAACCGTTGGCCTAAAAGACCATAATAACGGAGGTAAGTCCTCTCCTGGCTGCAGCATTCCAGGAGCATTATGCACAACTCCATCTACAATGGCCAAGTCAACATAAATGTTAGTCCCAATCAGGATAGACACCATCAAAGAAATTACAATTACGAGGAAATAGAGCACTAAAGATAGAAAATGACAAGAAACAATTTGTTTCACATTTACTGACAACAAGAAGCATATCATGGACATAGCACCAAGAAAATTTGCAAATAACTCTTCCAAAGAAAGTGACTTCTTAATAATACTGACATAGCAGCCAATCTACATTTTTGCGCTACTAACAAATAAAACAATGAGATATTTCATATCTGGCACAATCCGTGCCATGCAAAGATGAACATGAGCAAAGGAAAGAGGTGAATTGCTAGTATTGTATAAATCAGAAACTGGTATATGAACACAACAGTCAGGACCTAAGTTAAGCAATCATAAAAATAAAATGGTAATGAAGAACACAACAAAAGCTCAATAAAGAAGCTATAAATACACCTGAAAGAATTGAATACTCATTATTCACGTCAATCACACACCTATCAAGCATCAAATCTCAATTCATGCAATCGACCAATGAACCAATCAAAGAGTTCCAACAGCGAAACAGGATTTAGAGTAAACAAAATTCAATCCACAG